AAAGCTGGGTAAACAGTACAAGTAGTGGAAGTGGAAATGGCAACATCAGTGGTGCTACAGAAGTTAAAAAGGTTCATAGAGATTGTGTGTTTGCAAATAAACAAGCACAGATTCTAATTCAGTACCACAGGAATTGAAAACTTGCTTCCACAAAGTCATGTAGTACTGTAGAGAACAGGTGAATAGCAAACTGGTAGAGACAGACAGATCTTTGTTTTTAGAATTATTGTACACTTGTATGAATGCCAACTGTTGCCGTTTCCCTTTACATTGCAGAGGCTGAGAGAGATTAACAGCATGATTAAAACTGGGGAGACCCCAACAAAGAAGAGAGGTATTGTCTTAGAGGATGGTACTGAATCACCAGCCAAGCGGATTTGTCAGGAAAATCATACTGCTCTGCTGAGAAGACTTCAAGATGTAGCAAATGATAGAGGTTCCCACTGAGTTTAATCTACTGTTCCAGAAAGAGATGCTTTCTCTTCACTGCTCTCTGGCTAATCTGTCTAGCCAAGAAGTCTTCATACCCTCAAAATACTCTGATTCAGGAATCCTCAGTGCATCTCCATTTTATGATACCATCTTTTCAGCTAATTTTTCTGTCAAAAGGTAAGATGCTACCATTTCCAGGCCTTTTCCGCTTCCACTGCATTGACCGTTTGAACTGCCTACATGGGAATGACAACTGCTGCTGCGCACAGTCTCCCAGTGGGTTAAAGCAATTTTTCTTCTGGAGGCCAACCGTATGAAGTCACATGATGTCCAAACTCTAGGGCCACACCCACCAAAACCTCCTGTGTTATGAGTAGGACATAGATGTAGAGCTGCAGACAGTTTGCATATGCTGTTTTTCTTGGTGCTTTACTACTATTTTGTCATAAAGTGTCCTCTGACTTGCATCATCAGACACCAACAGTGTTAACAGACAAGGTGCCTTGTTTGGACTTTCACTGGGAAAGGATTTTGAGGGTAAGTATTTTTAAGCCGTGAAGAGAATCAGGTTCAGGATGTTTTATGTGCCTCCAAGAACAATCAAGTGGTTTTGCTCTAATGTTTGGGCACTTCACTTTAGGCCTACATCATTGTTAATGCATTTTGTTTTAGCTGTGCAATGTGAACTTATGTTCAAAGGGTGGCACTTTTTATAGGGCTGTGAAGCTTTGTTTTAAAAATACAGGTTAGTTGTGCTGTATATTTGCAATTGCACTTTTAAAAAAAATGTACATATTTTTCAAATGGTCGAGACAAAGATGTTTTCTGTATTAAATGATCAAACTTTTGTATTTATTTCAAAATAGCCAATCTACAGCTCCCCTTCAGCAAGCAAGCGTGTAAGCAGTAGTAGGAAGCTTTGTATAAAATTATTGAAAATACCCAAGGTGATTCTTCAGATTAAAATAGCCAAGACTATTTTAGTGTTCTCCCCCCTCTCCCTCTTGCAGCCATCTTACCTCTTTATACCCAAAAGGAGGTAGCACCTTAAGTTGCAAATGCAGTCAAAGATCATTTAGTTGGTTGTTCTGAAGCTTAGGCTAGTCCAGTAAAAAGAAAAAGAAAAAAAATAAATCAAGATGTCCAGAAAAAAAATTCCTTTACCACTAACAAGGAATTTTGTACATAGTTTTGGGTGGAAAGGCTCTTTAACATATCAGCCTGGCTGGTATGTTTAATCTTCATTAATACTAAATGTGTCCTACAATTAATGGAAATGCAGAATTGTGCATCATGTTGCCCACAATGTGTAGCACTTCCAGGAGTCCTCATAATGTTCAAAAAGCCAAAAAGCAAGCTCAATCTTGCAGTCATTTATGTTCATAACATTAAATGAATGGGAAATTTTAGGGTCTAATTACTTTAAATAATGAGCAAGTTACTGGTTAACTTCCACTGGTCTTGTATACGCAAAAATGCTAGAAAGTGTTCCTGTAAAAATATATTTATGAGATTGGTCAGACAGTTTTTTTCACTATACTGTAACCCTACTTCGTTAAGATATCACAAGTGTATTTTTCAATAAAGACCATTTTAAATGGATCTGAATGTACATCCTTGTTTGACCTAATGACTGGTCTCTGTTTTACCAAGATGTGTTGGATTCTTATAATGCTGGTAGTTGGTGCAATGTTCTAAAATAACTAAGATGTCCTTCAGAAGTTGTTGACGTGCTACTTAGACGAACAACTATTGATGCAGGTATAAGATGCAAGACACAGCACCTGTGACCAAGAAAGGATTTTTTTTTTTTTTTTTTTTTTTTTTTTTTTTTTTTTTTTTAATATAAACAAAGCCAAAGCAAGCCCCACTTGATATGCCATCTTCCTTACTCTGACAAGGATTCCTGTGCCACTTGCTACTTGACAAGGCTAAAATAGCAACTAACAGACTTCAGTCTGTTATACCAGTAAAAGTGCAATGTCTATAAGCGATAGGAAGCCAGTCTATATCCATAACAGAAGTTTGGCACAGATTGGTTTAAAAATGGTGAAAGATTTGCCCCCTCCCTTGTCCTAAGGGCTAATGTGCTGTGTTTGCTGTTGATCTAAACTATGCCATTTACAGAAAACCATGCAACTTAGATTGATTCCACCTCAGGCTCTCTCAATGTCTGCACCTAGTGTTCACATCTGACTACAGGTGTTGAGCAGCAGTAGTGAAAAGTTACCAATACAAAGTGGGAATACTGTAGGATCAGAGATTTGCTAGTTATGAATGCGGAGGGAGAAATGTCCTCCTGAAGTAAGTTTTTGTATTTACATGCAAGCCCTTCTTGCAAGACCATTTTTCCCATGAAAAAAAAAAAAAAAAGAGTGCTTTGTTTCTACATGAAGCCACACCATTTGATGCTGTAACTGCTAATAGCAGAAGCAGTGAATTAAGTTAACCAGTTTTTCAGTAAGCATAACAAAAAACACCCTTTCAAGAAAGTTAAGTAGAAAGGTGAGCTTCATAAAACACCCTTATCACTCCTAAGCAAATTGAAGTCTGCATGTCTTTGTGGATGCAAAATCAAAAAAAAAATTTCTATTATACCTTCTGTTGGGGTTATCTGAAAGGAAACAAATGCATTCTTAAAATGCATCTTAAGTTTCCTTAAATGTGTTTGAGAATTTCTTGTTAGAGATGCATTGTAAAGATAAATAATCACAACAATACTGTGCTTTAATAGATAGAGGCTCCCTGTACACATGCAGATAAAGGTATGATTTGGATCCAACACGTGATCCACAGCTGTGGCTTACTGCTGGTGCAGGGGGAGCCCAATCCTGTGCTGGCAAGAAGCAGGCTTACCACAGCTAGGAGCCCTCTGCTGATGGGGCTCCCAGCTACATGGGTGAGGTGCAGCCTGGACCAAGAGCCATGTGGGTTGGGGGTTTCACACCCCCACCCCATGCCTTGCGGAAGTCACAGCAGCCATGATCCCCGGGGCTTGGGGGTTTCACACTGGGCAAGGTGTACCCCTGTGGCTGGGTGCCCTGTCAGCTGCAGGGAAGACCCTGCTACATATGCAGATTGAAGCTTGCTAGCAACCAGCTACAACATTAGTACACATTTTTATGGTATAGCTGGTTGGAACTTTATTGTGACAACTACTTTTTGCACATGTAGCTGGTATTAAAGTAACTGTGCAATTAACCTAATTGTACAATACCTGTAAAGTGTAGAGGGGGCCTGAGCATAGATAATAACAGATAATATTTGAATGCAGACATCCTCTTCTAGTGTCTCTCAATGTATATAGGAATTTAACTGGGGTGGAGGGGAGGGTTGAAGAACAAGTCTTGTTCAATGCCCTGCCCCGGGCAAGATCACCCCTCTCTAAACCAACCCAGCCTAAATGCTTTTGTAACTTGTTCTCAAGACAGCTGGTGGAGATTTTACAATTTCTCCAGGTAATCTGTTCTAGTGCTTAAATTGCTCACAGAAATAACTTTTTTAGTGATAATAGCTTAATTTAAAGATTTCTCTTGTCATTTCAAGTTACTTTTTGTCTGCTCTAATGGGATAGTGAATTCAGGTCTTTACCAGTCTCTTCATGCAGCCACCATTCTCAATCCTCTTCTCCAGGCTCAACAACTCTAGTTCTTTCCTTGGGTGCCAGGTTTCCTAGACTCAGTCATTTTTGCTGCTCTCTGGATCCTTTCCAATTTCTCTTAAGTATTTCCAGAAGGGTGGTGGTGCTCAAACCAGACCCAGTACTTGACAGGAGGCCTCACTTGTATTGAACAGAGGGGAAGCGTCCCATTTCTGGACCTGCATACTGCAATGCACTAACATGAGTCAATTGCTGCAGTTTGCTGTTTTTCCAAAACTTGTACATTGCTCCATTCAGCAGGCAGCCCACTAACCCAAAAGTGCTTTTCTGTAGCATTACAGCCAAACTGATTGGTCAATCCACAATTTAGATTTGTGCACTTAAATAAGGACACAATCCAAAGTCTTGCACTTGTCATTACTGAATTTCAGCCAAGTTAGTTCTAAACCATTTCTCCAAATGATCAAGGTCATTTTGAACATCATAAGTCTTTTTCTCTGTAGTGAACCCTATCCCCCTCAATTTTTTTTTATTTATTTATTTTTATACATTTTCACATCTTTGTACTCTTAACCTACACATGTTCTTTTGTGCAACACAGATCCCAAACTAACTGTATAAATGCACTAGTTTGGGCCAGTCTACCCAGAGCAAAACTGCTTTCTGTGCAGCACAATGCTGTGTTAATAGTTGCACTGCTGCCAGTTCCACAGCTAGGTGTCAGTGGAACATGAGCTTGCTCTGCACTGCAGATATCCCCAATTTCATCACAAGTTCAAAGTGCACCTCTACAGCAAACACCAGCTAAAGTTATTGTAACACAATAAAGCAGAAGCTACAATCCAATCCAAAACTGCTTCATTACCTAGGCTTCAACTGAACTCTGCCACACTACCCATTCAGGTCTCATTAAGCTGTTCCTTCAACCAATAAATTTCAGCAACAGGTAACAGGCACATATACATACCCGCCAAGTCTTGTGAGATAACTAAGAAACTGTTCTCCCCTCTCTCCACTTCAGTCACTAGGGAGCAAGATCATACAAAAATGAGAGAGACTTCATTTGTTATGTTGTTATATCCCCTTCTCCCCACCCCCACACACCATCTTTCCCTCTAAATTGAATAAGTACTTACTGCTTTTGCCTCAAGAAGTGGAAGTGGTTTTATCAGTCTTATACAGAGAAGGAGCTGCTTGAGCTGATGCCAGTTGCAAGGACAGCAGGTAACCTCTCCAAAGGAGGCAAAGCCAGAATTGAGTCCCTTTCTGCAGTTCCTTCCTGTGTGGGAGGAAGCCCAGCTGGGGCAGATTTCCAATTTAGAGAAGAGCCATGTAAGAAAAGCTTGATTCAGGTCACCTGAAAGCAGCTTCAGCACAAATGAGCATGCCAGCAAGCTATTGCCATTAGTGCCCAAAAACAAATCCATCTTGGAGGACAGAGCTGGGGCACGTGATTCATAAAGCATGATCCAAAACTGTTTAGATGCCTAAATATGGGCTAGTGCATGGGCTCAAAAGCAATCCAGGCCAGGCATCTGCATCCTGCTTACATTAAGGATCATAAAGAAACTGGATTCAAGACAAGTCAGAAGCTGACATCATTCATCCACACCAAAACCAAGTCTGACAAACATCAGCACACCTAAAACTGGGAATTGGAAACTACTGCTATGCTTCCTTACTAAATTACTCACTCCTAAGTACATCCTGAGAGAGAGAGAGAGAGAACAAACCAACCACTCAAACGTAAGGTGTATCCTAGCCAGTGGCCCTAAAAAAAAATACAGAAGGTTTCTAGGCAACAATTCAAGTGAGGTCCTGCTGA